ACTAGTGCTAAGGATATGTTTAATATATTTTGTAAAAAAAAAAAAACGAACAATCAGACAAACTTGAAAGTCAAGAACTAGAAATAGAGATCAATAGGTGGCTTCAAAAATCTAATACATTCATGTTTCTAATTGATAAAAACAACTTATTTATTTTGTATTCTTAGCTTAATTAGGATAATAAAACAAACAACAACTTTTTATGTGTTACATTGATGGAAATTGATAGTAACTTATACACTATAATTAACATTTATTCCTTACTACATATTACTTGATAGTAACTAATACACGTACTCACTACATATTACTTGTTAACGATCCCTTTCGCTTGCGAAATTTTCTCAAACAACATAGATTTCTCACTAGGATGCATTTTCTATATATGCCCATGTGTAAAGGAGGTGGCCTACCAACTAAGCTATAGCCCTTAGTGTTTGTGATACAATTTTTATCATGTAGATAATATCTTTTCAAGATGAATATCCTATGACCCAACATCCTCAATTTTTGAGTGATACTACTTGTATTAGAATTGCTCATAAGTAATATGATATTTATAATACATCGATGGCATGGATAAAAACATTTATTAACCAATGTCTATTATAAAAAAATTGAAATTAAAATTATAAAAATAAAATCAACATGAATTTTATCATACGGTTAATTGAAAAATAAAATATTAGTTCTATTGATGAAGTCAAGTCAAGAAATTCAATGAGAAAGACAGAATAATATTTGAAATTGGAATGCTTTGTGCCTTTGTCAAGCACAGATTATGTGGTTTCGGATTTAGAACTAGGACTTGGGCCTCATTTTTTTTTTTTTTTTTTACATAGGATGCTTTTTTGGACATGGACTGTATTGTATCCGTCCATATCCCAGTTGTTGCTGAGTTTCCCCTTGGTTTACTTTTCCTACTCTTAGCTGCTTCAAATGAAGTGAACGGCTCTTTATTAGAGTAAACATGCTATGTAGAGTCGTGTTAATCCACCACTCTTTTCGGTTTGAACCCTCCAAGTTCACTTCAAAATTTATGACTGTTGGGCTCATCTCAAATACATTGTGTTCCATGTATTTAACCACATTTGCTTCATTCTTATTATTCTTCTTTGCAATTTGCACTCCGAACACTTATGGCCTACTTTGTCACAATTAAGTCACTTTCCTTCATATTTCTTCTTGAAAACTCCACCGTTTGATCTCTACTTTGACCCTTTACCACTAGATAGCCCATGTTTGCCCTTGCCGGTTTTAGAAGTTTATTTAAGCTTCACAATACTTTCTTTAGCAACAACTAGAGTTATCCTCTTACTTTTCAGAACTTCTGTTATATTCTTTAATTTGAAGTTTGGCAATCGAATTTTCAATGTTCATTTCCTTTCACTTGTGCTTAAACTATTTTTTGAAAGCGTTTCATGCCAGAGGTAGCTTCTCAATAGTAGCAGTCACCAGAAAAGTTTCACCCAAGATCATTCCTTTGGCATGAATTTCATGTAAAATCACTTGAGTTCCTGTACTTGAAGGATCACAATTCTTGAGCTCCCCATGTTATGATCTAGGAAGTGGGCGATAATGTATTTCTTAGTCCGACACTCTCAATTTTATATTTGGGTCTAAAGACTTCACAATTCCTTGGTCATTTATAATGCATTATACATGTATATTGAATCAACGAGTGCATTGTTGTTGAACAGGGAATCAAAATGTTTCCAAGCATCAACTGTGCTGATAGCTTGTAAATCTCTCTTATACTCTTTGAGTTTCAGAGCATCCTCAGTCAAGAATCTTGTGAGATTCAAGGAGGCGAGGTAAAATAGAATCTTTTTTTGAAATTGAACTCATTAAATTTCTTTGATTTCTCCCTATGTATAACCGGAACTGTTATAGCTAGGCCAACTGTTCCGAGCCATTGTCTAGGTCACAACATAACTTGGTAGTTGAACTATGGTCAGAGTTGCAATGTGACTTGACAATTGAGTCAACAGTTTGTTTTTCAGTAACCATATCCATATTGGTTAATCTGGTTACCATATCTGAAACACCAAACAACTATTAATTTCCCAGTGCAAACAAAATAAAGCCGATTTTTTATTTTCACATCATTTTAGGATTTTCAGTAAAATTACAATAGAATATAATATATTAGAGAAATAACAAACAAAAATCAAAATTGAAGAAAAAAATCACAACTAAATAGGATAACAGAATAGCAAATTGATGCCTGTGAAAACAAAATGTATATCCTTAAAATAGATTCACTATCTTACTATAAGTGCTTCAGGTTTTGCTGACTCTCAATACAGATAACAAATCAGTACTGATTTTATTTCAACACTATCATCAAGACTTGGATATGGACACATGAAATGAATAAGGAATATATTTTGGAATAAAGAAATTTGTGTATGGAACCGATGAAAATGAGCACTCTTAAAGTCTCTAATGAGTGACTTATTATACCATTAATTTATCATTAATCTAACAAATAACACCCATGTTAACATAGGCAACAAACCACAGGAGTTTTAGGACATGAAAACTGTGAAAGGCCAGTTGAAAATAAATAGAAAACATGGATCCTACTGAGAGACCAAATTTCAGTTTGTCATTCACGTACGCATGTCACATTTGTGCATAAGACAAACTATAATTTTGCTTTCCATCTAGCAACCAATTCAAGTGAATATAAATTGATCTTCAATTTATCATTCGCACTAGCATCATTTTCACTAAGTAAATATATGATTTTGATGTTTTCGCAGAGGAAAACAACAAATCTACTTTGATCTTCCAAAGAATATAAATGAATTAATTCAAAATTATACCAAAAAAGAAAAAAAATCATTTTCCAATAAGCAATGCTGCAATAATGTGATTTAATGCTGGAATTAATTAGCACATTTTGTCCTTGTAACATATTCTACTCAAAAAGTCCGTTAAAGGGTGTAAAAAATACTTTATTTGCCTCTCATAATTTTAAATAAGAGAAGCAACAATTAGAATACTATATAAAAACAATTCTCAAAGACAATGTGCTAATTAATGAAAGATTAATTCAAACTATTAGAATACTATATAAAAAAAATTCTCAAAGACAATGTGCTAATAAATGAAAGATTAAGAATAAGATTGCGATAAAATAATGTAGGGACCTATGTGCACTAGTAATAAAAGATTGAGGGCTTTCTATTATACAATTAATAAGTGATAAAACTAAAGAAAAATATTGTTTCAACATAAATTACCCATGGTGAAAATGAAGTACTGCTTTAGAGACATTATAATCCTCTATACTGACCCTACTAGTATCTTACTCATATTATTTTGAGAGTGTGGTTTCTTATACTGACTTCATTTATTTAACATAAAATATTTGGATGCTTAATTCAAATTGAATCTAGTTGGCTAAAACATTATCATCAACGAATAGTATGTGTTGCATTCTTATCCACATGACCTAGTCCCTTGTTGAAGACTGTGGATCACATGTTTGTCAACCAAGGTTCTATAACCAATTAAGGTCATTTGCAACCCACATACTAAGTTTGCACAACAAAGGGTTCACCTCAAATGTACCATATTCGAATGTACAAATCCGTCTAACTTGACATAAAATAAATCCACTATTAAGAATAGTGATCTATATTAAAACAAATGATTGATGATTTCATGTGTATTCAATTTTCTTTTCTTAGTCATTGGGTTTTAACAAAGTACGTGAATTTGGTAAAGGAAGCCATCTACATTATGATTTTACTACACTATTCTAAATAATAGATGATCAAATTAACATAATGGAACTAAGTGACAATGAACGAAATTCACAATATTGTTATTAATGAAAGGTAATGTTTAGTTAAGCTAAAATTTGGGTATTCCAACAAGGGGAAATTGGATAGGCAGATTTCTTAGTAATATGGATAGCAGTGTTAATGGGAAGCAGTGTCTGGTTGAGGCCAAGAACTATAAGAAATATGAGTTTTGCCGACCAAGAGATTGGTCGCTCAAAGCCAAATTTTAGTCAGTAATTTACTAACCGGAAAGTTTTGGTTTGCAGCTGGTCGCCAAAGGCCAGTCAGGGAAGGTTTTTATCGACCAAAATATAATTTAGTTGGGAAAGAGAGATTTTTACTGATCAAAAAATTGTTGGTCGGTAATTATAAACCTTTTCTTGACCATTCATTTGGTTGGTAAATGTCTAAAGTAGTCGGTAATAAACAAGTCATGAGTAGTGGTAGTAAACATAGACCGACCATAGCGGTTGGTCGGGAATAATATACATTTGCCGACCAAAAAATCAAGTGACATTTACCGAGGGAGAGATCAAGTGAAATTGGTCAGGAACTGCTTTTTCTGATTATGGTTTCCCTCAATAATTGTGATTTATTTTATTTTTTACAACCTTGTCCGAGAATCAAAGTTATAAGAAAGGTAGAATGGCCAACTCGAAAATAATGTACCAATAAAAGTTCAAATTCAAGAAATATCAGAAATTAGAAAACAATAATCACAATAAAAAGCCTGTAGCAAAACAATTGCAAGGCAAAATACTATATCATGTCTTTACCAGTCAATTCCAATTTCAGAATAAGTAACTATGTTACATGCCCAAAATATAATGGATTTCAAAGTAAAGAGCCTAGTCAAATTCATATATAAGAGAAAGCTAGCTTAATCCAAAAATAATAGCATATGTTATAATGGAGTATTAACCATCAAAATATAAAACCATGTAAATGGAATAGAAGAGCTTTAAACTAATTATCATCATGTGACTCGTGATCAGGTTATGATGGTGACGAAGACGAATGAGGATTAGTAAGAACTCTAGGGCTGCCTATTCTAGCGATGGCAACTGGCATAATCTCTTTTAACAAAGTGAGATTACGCTCATTTTGGCTCTGCAAATTATGCGTGACTTGGCGAACCTTGGCATTCTCTCATTGAGTCGTGTCTACACAAGATGTAGCACGTTGAATCTTTGGACCCCCAAGAAGTAGCTCTAAGGACCTGAGTCGAAATGTCATTAGCAGTGAGCTATGCTCCTTGGATCTCACTCTCCTCTCCCACAATATGTGCCTGTTGTGTTGTTTGTATGTCTACCATCTCTTTCTACATGACAATAGGAAAGTATTAACACAAATAAGGTAGTAAAATATTTAGTCCATTAAACTTAAAGACTTACATTATTTGTTTATTACATGTTTCTCCTCAACCACAGGATGGATCCAGCCTTTTGTATCCTTGTAATGTGTGTTCTTCCATAGCTGAATTTTGTCTTGTCGTCCAGTTTCATTATCCTATTAGAAGAAATAAGAATAAAATTGAATTGAATTGAAATTGTTTCCCAATAGAGATGAATATATTTCTTCTTACTTTCCCCCATAGCCTGACATTGAATAAATGATCTAGAACAAGAAAAATGGGTAAATTCTTGTCAGGATCTATTGTCAATTGCTACCTTGGTCTTTTTTTGTAATGTCCAATTAACAGAACAAAGAAAGTCAATGAACTAAATAATTAACAATTGAACATAAATGGAAGTTATACTATATATAAATGCACCTGAAACTGCTCACTTTCCCAATAGTCACACAAATAATCCCAATCAACCTGATGTTGGATTTCTTTAGGCTTATTAGCTTTCCTATGAGCCATTGGTTGGTTTAGAAACTTCTTGTAATGTGTGTGCAGCTCATAGCAAAACTCCTTAAAGGAAGTGGCCATTGATTTCTCCATGAACTCTTTGAGAGTCGCATATTTATCATATTGTACATCAAAAATAGCCTATATATAGCAACATACCATGACTGAAAACACAATGACGAGCACAAAATTCACATAAATATATTGGATTATGAAGTTGCTACTCCAAGCAACCAAAATCAAAGTGCCAGAAATTCAGATCATTCAAGATATGCATACATGTCAATGAACATATGCAAACATCCAATATTTTTAATTAAGATACCGACTTCTAATCATTTAGAGAACCTGTCAATTTGATACCTGGAATACTAACTTGTTATTAACTTTATTCCTTTCTTCAACAATGACATGTTTAAAGAAAGAAAAAGATGCATACAAGTTGTACTAGGACAAGAAACAAAACAAGTTAAAACAATAATGTTACCTCCACTTTGTCATAAATAGGGGATTTTTCAAATTCAGACACGTCTTTTTAAAAGATCTTTTGGAGAGGTGCAAATATTCTCACACCAGATCCTATCTCAGATAGGAATAGACTAGCATTAGGACCAGTTGGTCTTCCATCGCTATCTTCATACATGATTTCCAGCTTCCTATGAGTGGCCTTGACTATCTAGGATGTGTCTAAGCCACAAGTACAACCACATCACTTATGCTTGATTGGGAATGCTGCAAGTGTTAAAACAATAAATGTTAATAAGAAAAAAAGATGAAGAATTAAATAACAATTATAGAACAACTTGTCTCTGTTGGCAAAGTGGCTTGTGCAGACTGCATGGTAGGTGAAGGCTACGTGCTAGGTTGAGTGATCGCCTGCGTGATAGAACCATTCAGAGGTCTTGGGGTGGTGGCTTCATCTTTGGTTGCATTGGAATAACCTGTGTTGTTGACAGTAAAAAAAAAAATTCAATACGCATAAAATTAGTTTTTAGCACATTGTACCAATCATGCATTCGTGTCAAACAAATAAATTGTTGCTAAAAATTTTAATATTCAACAACTACTTGCCACTACATTTCTAGGTTCATTTCTAGAATGTAAACGGTTGTGTCAAAATTTGCAACTACATTTCTGGTCTGTAACATATGATCGTTGTTTTGCTAGTCTATTTTTATTCTAGTACCGAGCCTGAGGCACAAAGAGCAATAAAAGCTGAACTAAAGGAATGATGACGACTTCATTCATAAAATGCATGTACTCAAATTTTGAATCATATTTTACTAGCAAAGTACCAAAGATTGCATGAGCCTCAAAAATATATTGTTTCAATATCATGTTACGAAAATTGACAGAGGGAAGAATAATAAATAACAAGATTTTTCAATAAATTTGGATAAAGAAAGATAAGAAGACATTGCAGTAAATTTTGAATAAGCCCTCATTATTTCATAGATGAACGTGGAAATTAATAGAACAGTAATTATTTCTTAACAAATGTGATTCTTTTGTTTTTCTTATGCAATAGGGCCCTGAGATGAAAACATTTTAGATAAGTCTTGAAGTGATTCTCTTGTTTTTCAAAGAATCACCTATGGTATTGGAGGAATGACCAAGTAAACAATAGTTTATATGCTCCCACAAAGTCTAAGAATCCATTCTTACATCTAAAAAATTCAAAATATAGTACAAAATTATTTCCACCCATCACATGAAGCAGTAACAAGCAGCCCACAGTTAAGACATGTTTCCTATCCCCCATCTAAATTAGTCTTCCCCCCTCCACTCTGATTAAAACCAGAGCATCTAAAACATATCCTCAATATAATGCAATTTGCAGTCTAGAAAATCCTCCCAACCTTAAGTCATGTACAGCATTACCTGTCAATCCCATTCGATGTTGACAAGTAGCTATTAACATATAAAAACCTATATGTAGGATTTTTTGATTCATGGCTAAAATGTGCTCAAATTGAGTCTGTATCTCATCTAGATTAGGCAGAGCATTCATGATAAGGAAAAGCACAGAAAGGAATCTCAAAAAGGATTTTTAACCAATGATAAGCAGTGCCCATAGAGAACAACTCAAAAAGAAAACGATAATACAAATTTACCAAACTGATAAAAAAGCCATACGAAGAAACTTACACCAATATTGATTTGTAAGATAAGAAGCACCAATACCACCTGCAGAAAAAATTAGCACAAATAAGTTTCAAGAAATACAAAATGAATAAGTGAAAAATAAAAAATCTACATAGTGAGGTAAAAGTCAGGAATTAAGGGTGGACGTTAAGATATATACAGTAATAAAACTACAAAAAAAATTAAGAAAATTGAAAACCCTACAAAATAAAAAAAATAAGTAAATCAAACGTCTCCTTTTTCTATCAACTAAACCAAACGTATAACACAAAATTTCGAAAAATCCAGATGTGAGTGTTGGGCAAAGATACTGAGAGCACAAAGAGAAGAAAATGGAAAAACTGAAAACTTAATTTAAGATTGAAAATGGAGAAAGAAGGACAGCTCTTGGAAATGGAGAGAAAACAACGGGTTACACTTGAAAATAGATAAAAATGCACCGGACAACTTCAAGGCACTGAGAGAAATGGAAAGGGCGGCTAAAGGAAATTGGAAATGGAGAAGACAACGTTAATTTTTGGCCTATGTAGTTTGGGTAAATCCAATTAATTGTGGGCCCACATATCCCGCCACAATTTTTGGCCCAGTCCAAGATATTTACCGACTACATTTATTTAGTCAGTAAATATTTTCGAGCCATGACCCGCTAAAAATAAATCTTAGTTTGGCCAATTGTTTTTAATTTTTGTCAGCAAATATGTCTCATTTTTGCCTACCAGTACATATTTTGGCCGGTAAATACTATTTTACCGACTAATTATACCTTAGTGGGAAAAATTTGGTCGGCAAAAGACTTATTGACTAATGTTATTGGGTCGGTAAATGCTTGGTTGGTAACAATATTGCCAACTATGTATTTCTATTGGTCATTATAAGAGCATTTTCACCAACTAGAATTTGGTTGGTCAGAGAAAGGTTGGTCGGGAAAGCTATATTTTCTTGTATACATCATAGTGATCCTCCTATTTGACTATTTCGACCATTTTCGAGCACCTTATAGTATTTTCGAGGCTTACGAATATGCTATTGTATCCCCATAATTTCAATTCACCATGGGCACAGACACTATTGCTAAGATAATAATCTTTATGCGAATAGATAGAAGAAAGCTTGATACCTGACTTTAGTAGAATGTAGGTCAATTCTATGTAAATACAGAATAAGTATCTAAACAATTTTTCATTATTTCAAAATCCCATGAAATATGCACACATACATGTGGCATATTGACATAGCTTTAGGGGATAGTATGAGAAACTGAAAATCGCCTACAAATGCAAAAAGCTCTGAGTTAGTTTACCTTCAAGAATCCAATGAATTCAAACTTTAAAATTAATAATATTTTAAGCAAGGGAGGTTTGTGTTATTCGACAATCTAATAAACTTTATAGGGATAGGTATGTGCGACTCAAACTTGAAATAAGGGAGGTTTGTGTATTTATTGAAAACAATTAAGATTTCATGTGAGATATCAATTATTCAAAATTGAAATAAGAAAGGTTTTTGTAATTTTTTAACACAGATGATGTCTCTAAACTTGTTGAAATCCTAATTTTACAGCACTTGTTCTTGTCTGTAGCTTTCTCTAAGAGTGCGTTGCTAGGAATGGCTCAGTGTCGGGTGGCATGCTTCGCTAGGGACTTTGGAAAGATGCAATATGGAATAAAATATCTTCATTTTCGGCTCCAATTTTCTCATTTCGCTAATATATTATTTTCTAAGTATCTTATTTATTTTACTGTGATGTAAATTAAAAACAGAAAATAGTTAAAAATAAGAGTTGACATAGGGATGTGTTTTCAGATATAAATTAAATTTAGAAACTAAAAAATGTAAAAAAAAAAGAGTCAAGGAAGGTTTGGATTTTTAATTACGATATAAGTGTAAGGACATAAAAATAAAGATAGGTTGACGGGGAACGGGTCCTAGCCTCGATTTCCCAATCCTCTCTACGTCAAAGCCACCCACTATTAGGATATTCGTGTTAAAACAAAAGTTTTGAGAAAGCTTTATAAATTCAATTTATTTATTTAGTTACTATTTTAATTTAATTTGTGTTAGTTATAATATAAAATAATATTAGTATAAACTATTATATTTTTCCAACTCTTTTACGTTGTTATGTTATTATTTCATTTTAACGGTAGCTACAATGTCGAATTACAAAGAGTAGTATATATACTTGGGTTTCAAGAATAAATTTAACAAATTCATATGACCTGGCAAGCCAATCTTGCGAAACAACAATGCATAGGAAACCTAAGTTAAAACAAGAAAAAAACTACTTTGCCTAGAAAAACCTTACTAGCAATACTATATGAAATGTACAAAATACATAAAAACAATTCATTTCTTTTACCCAGACATCACTCATTTGAAGGTGGTCGGTGCACTAGCATATCAGAAACATTGTGCATAGTTGGCCGATGTTGTGGATTGGAGTGCAGGCATTCAATTGCAAGTTTAACAATGGACATCAAAATCACCTCTTCTTCTCGAGTGGGATAAAGAATGCTTGGATCCAACAGATCTTACATTCGTAAATCTCCATTTGATAGAGTTGTTACGTATTGAATGTATTCACCAGGATGCTGTCCTTTGATCACTTCCAATGCTAACACTCCAAAGCTATACACATCACACTTTTCAGTAACCTTCATTGTGTATGCAAGTTCTGCTCATAAAACATGGAAAGAATACAATCAAAATCATGTACACATATTCCATGAATGAAATTAAGGAAAAAATATATTACCTGGAGCGAAATAACCATATGTGCCCGCAAGAGAGCTGAAATTCGATGAATCGCATTTCAGAAACTTAGCAGTACCAAAATCTGAAACATGAGCCTCGTACTGTGAATCAAGCAAAATGTTGTTGCTGGATATGTCTTGATGAACAATTGGAGGAGAACAACTATGATGCATGTAAGACAAAGCATAAGCCACGCCCTTCAAGATATTAACCCTTTTAGGCCAATCCAATTTCTTGGCTTCTTCATCGATGCTTAAGGTTTTTGCCAAACTACCTCTATCAAGGTATTCATAGACCAAAAGTGAGTTTTGATCATTTGAACAGAAGCCATAAAGTTTCACAATGTTTCGATGCCTGATTTCTGTCAATGCTCTTATTTCACTCATGAAAGCTTCAAAGTTTGCCGTTTCAGATGATAAATGAAGTCTTTTGACTGCTACTGTAAGCATTTCAAATGAGGAATGAAGTCTTTTCCCTTCTATTATTTTTTCTAATGAAAGTTGTGGCCTCTAAGATGTCTTTATACGTGAGTTTTCCATCAAGTATGGTGAGCAAATCATCATCTCCTTTCATTGGATTCATCTTTCTGCATTTACACATGATGAGGATCCCGATGAATGTAAATAGAAGTAAAGGACAAAGAAGAGGGATAACAATTGTCAAAATGAGCTTGTGCTCACTCCACATCTTGTTTTTAACTCCAGATAGGCTTTCACATGGTTGTAATCCTACAATATTGCCACACAATCCTTTCTTCCCTTGTAGTTGTTCTATAGAGACATTTTGAAAGGCTCTGTCACTAGGAACTGGACCCTCCAACTGATTATAAGATATATCAATGTCCATTGAGCCTGGCATTTCTTCAAAACTCTTAGGAATGAGTCCTAAGAGGTGATTGTGGGAGAGGTTTAACAGTTCCAGGCTTGTCAAAAATCGTAGTTCAGATGGTATTTCTCCGGTGAGTGGATTATTACTCATATCCAACTCAGATAGATGGATTAACTTACCGAGCTGATGAGGGATTCTCTGGCTTAAATAGTTGAAGCTCAAATTCAAGTAATGCAACTGCTCAGAGTTCGCTAAATTTCCATGTATCTGACCTGTCAGTCCGTTTCTAGAAAGGTCTAGGTTTTCTAGATGTGAAAGAGATCCCAATTCTTCAGGTATACCTCTGGAAAGTTGGTTATCCTCTAAATATAGATTTAGAAGTAAAGTTAACTTTCCAATTTCCTTTGAGATCTCCCCACGTAACTTGTTTGAAGAAAGATCAAGTGCATGCAGTTGACTTAAACTTCCAAATTCTGGAGGAATGCTCCCAGTAAGGTTATTCTTTGCAATTTTCAGAGTTTGCAGCTGCTTGTTACTACCCCAGATGCTGGAGAGTTCACCATAGAAATTATTGCTACTTAGGTCCATGAAGGTCAAATTTGGATATACACCAAATTCTTCGGAAATATTTCCGAAAAGCTGGTTGTGATCAATCCGAAGTCTAACTAAACTGGAGCATTTTCTCAATCTTTTAGGGATTGGTCCTGAAAGTCTATTGGAGCTCACTGAAAATATTTCCAATACTCTTCCACCACAAAATTCTGGCAAATCACCTGAAAAACGATTAGAGAACATAGTCACGTTGACCAATTTCTTCAATTTCCCTAGTTCACTTGGAATAGAACCAGATAGTTGGTTTTGAGATAGACCAAAAATTTTTAAATGGCCGAGGTTCTCAAATGGAACCGAGATTTTACCTGTGAGATAATTAGTGCCCAATCCTAGCTCCTGGAGTGATGTCAACTTTCCCAACTCGAGAGGGATGGGACCAGAAAGTTGATTCTCAAAGAGATACAGAATTCTTAAACTAGTTAATCCACTCAACGAAGTAGGAATTTGACCTGTGAGATTATTCATGCTCAATTCTAGGTCCTGAAGTGATGTCAGCTTTCCCAACTCGGGAGGGATGGGACCAGAAGGTTGATTCTCATAGAGATACAGAATTCTTAAACTAGTTAATCCACTCAACGAAGTAGGAATTTGACCTATGAGATCATTAGTGCCCAATCTTAGCTCCTGGAGTGATGTCAACTTTCCCAACTCGGGAAGGATGGGACCAGAAAGTTGATTAGTATTGAGATACAGAGTTCTTAAACTAGTTAATCCATTCAACGAAGTAGGAATTTGACCTGTGAGATCATTAGTGCCCAATCCTAGCTCCTGGAGTGATGCCAACTTTCTCAACTTGGCAGGGATGGGACCAAAAAGTTGATTCTCAAAGAGATACAGAATTCTTAAACTAGTTAATCCACTCAACGAAGTAGGAATTTGACCTGTGAGATTATTCATGCTCAATTCTAGGTCCTGAAGTGATGTCAACTTTCCCAACTTGGGAGGGATGGGACCAGAAAGTTGATTCTCATAGAGATACAGAGTTCTTAAACTAGTTAATCCACTCAACGAAGTAGGAATTTGACCTGTGAGATCATTCGTGCTCAATATTAGGTCCCGGAGTGATGTCAACTTTCCCAACTCGAGAGGGATGGGACCAGAAAGTTGATTTTCATAGAGATACAGAGTTCTTAAACTAGTTAATCCACTCAACGAAGTAGGAATTTGACGTGTGAGATCATTCGTGCTCAATATTAGGTCCTGGAGTGATGTCAACTTTCCCAACTCGGGAGGGATGGGACCAGAAAGTTGATTAGTATCGAGATACAGAGTTCTTAAACTAGTTAATCCACTCAACGAAGTAGGAATTTGACCTGTGAGATCATTCGCGCTCAATTCTAGGTCATGGAGTGATGTCAACTTTCCCAACTCGGGAGGGATGGGACTAGAAAGTTGATTAGTATGGATATACAGAGTTCTTAAACTAGTTAATCCACTCAATGAAGTAGGAATTTGACCTGTGAGATCATTCGTGCTCAATTCTAGGACCTGGAGTGATGTCAACTTTCCCAACTCGGGAGGGATGGGACTAGAAAGTTTATTAGTATTTGATACAGAGTTCTTAAACTAGTTAATCCACTCAACGAAGTAGGAATTTGACCTGTGAGATCATTCGCGCTCAATTCTAGGTCATGGAGTGATGTCAACTTTCCCAACTCGGGAGGGATGGGACTAGAAAGTTGATTAGTATGGATATACAGAGTTCTTAAACTAGTTAATCTACTCAATGAAGTAGGAATTTGACTTGTGAGATCATTCGTGCTCAATTCTAGGTCCTGAAGTGATGTCAACTTTCCCAACTCGGGAGGGATGGGACCAGAAAGTTTATTAGTATGGAGATACAGAGTTCTTAAACCAGTTAATCCACTCAATGAAGTAGGAGTTTGACCTGTAAGATTATTCGTGAGGTTCTGGAGTGATGTCAACTTTCCCAACTCAGGAGGGATGGGACCAGAAAGTTGATTAGTATCGAGATACAGAGTTCTTAAACTAGTTAATGCACTCAATGAAGTAGGAGTTTGATCCACTCAATGAAGTAGGAGTTTGACCTGTAAGATTATTCGTGAGGTTCTGGAGTGATGTCAACTTTCCCAACTCGGGAGGGATGGGACCAAAAAGTTGATTAGTATCGAGATACAGAGTTCTTAAACTAGTTAATCCACTCAATGAAGTAGGAATTTGACCTGTGAGATTATTCGTGCTCAATTCTAGGTTCTGGAGTGATGTCAGCTTTCCCAACTCGGGAGGGATGGGACCAGAAAGCTGATTAGTATGGAGATACAGAGTTCTTAAACTAGTTAATCCACTCAATGAAGTAGGAATTTGACCTGTGAGATCATTCGTGCTCAATTTTAGGTCCTGGAGTGATGTCAACTTTCCCAACTCAGGAGAGATGAGACCAAAAAGTTGATTAGTATGGAGATACAGAGTTCTTAAACTAGTTAATCCGCTTAACGCAGTTGGAATTTGACTTGTAAATTGATTGTTTGATAAATCAAGATTGTTGAGTTTGGAGAGTTTACCTATTTTTGTTGGAACAGTTCCTGTAAACTGATTGGTTGATAAATCAAGATAGACAAGTTTGGAGAGTTTACCAATTTGAGGTGGAATGGTGCCAAAAAGATGATTGATTGAGAGATCTATATAAGAAAGACTTGGGAATGATGAGAATGGAAACTCATAGAAGAAGGCATGAATGCTTGCATTTGTGACGTTCAGCCTATTAACACTTCCGTCAATGCAATAAACTCCAATCCAATTGCATGGACTGGAACTTGTTTTTGGATAGCTAGAAAAATTGGTGGAATTCTTGGTTTCAAGATTCCATGATTTTAATATCGAGCTGTTATGATTTATAAAATTGGCTTTCCATTTCAGTAGAGCATTAGCTTCAGCAAAAGAAGTAGAAGCGGGTTCAACAAAAGTAAGGAAGAAGAAAAATGTGAAACTGGAGTATTTTTGCATGGTTGTAGTAGGATTTCTGTACAAATTATCATGCTGCAAAAGTTCAATTTATAGATTCATAATTTGGAGGGAAAATAATTAGTACTTGTTGTGCTAATTAAAGACTTCATAAGTCAAGATTTGTCTTTTAGAGTAAATATCATTCTTCATTATCAGTCATTGTTGGTGATTAATTCAAATTACAACATCCAGTTAAGATGACTTGACCAAATGATTATTACTTAAATCACATCGTACTATTGAATAAAAACCTGTGGTTAGAACTTGTTGAAAATATTTATATGAATCTCATACAAAATATATATGGATTTTTATTTATATATTGTTACATAAAGAGCTTACATATTGAAATTGTTATCTCACGAATACAAGTTGTAACAGACAAAGTTGAGAAAATAAATAGAGAAAAATTAACTTTTATTCTTAATTATCCATACAGATTAAAAATAAAAAAGTAGATCTAGTTATGTGATTGTAAAACTGATCACTTAGTTTCAGAATTACAAATTCAATAATATATAAATATTGCTATGCAAAAATAAAGGTAGGTGGAAAAAAAAAGCCTGCGCCAAAAATAAGTTATTGATTTCACGAATTTGATTGTTTTTCTCTCTAACTTTTTCATTTAACTTAATTTTAATACATATTAAAATATTGTGTAAATATTTAATGAGGTTCGCCGTCTATTAAAGTTTTTGTCTGTATATGTGATTTCAGAGTTTTTTCTCTTTGATAACTTAGGTGTCCAAGTTTCACTCGACTAATCTTGGGGAGTGGTGGTCTTTCCATTGACTAGGCACCTGGGTAATTCATATACGGTCACACTTTATACACACTTGGATTAAACATTCGGAATGCAATTTTTCTTCTTGTGGACCTCGGAGAGATATAGCGTGCATCATAACTTTGCCTCTATATGACATTTATGTGATCTCACTTTTTATTGGTATTAGAGGTGGACATAGTAAAAATTAGGAAAATTTATAGTAGAGGTATCAATCCTTTAAAATTGTGTAGTTAGATCCCAAACCTTTTAGTCTTAGCACCTATATCCTGAACTCTTTAATATATGTGCACAAGAAGAATCATTAACGGTTTACATCCAAAAACATGTTAGTTCATCGAAAGTCAAATGATTTACTTTAATTTTATTAACTTAATGCAAGGTGAATTGGTCTTTTTACATTTAATTAACTACAAAAATTTTAATAATTGTAAAAAAATAAATAAATAAATTTTATTAACATACAATGCTCATATTGTACTATAGTTTCTCAGTTTTTATACAAAATAATTTTCATTGTCCACGTGTCAACAATGCAATTTTCTTTTGGCAAGAATATCGTACATCAAGAAAACCCATCTTGGATATATTATGCAAGTGTATCTCTTACTAAAGAAAAAAGATAAGAACTTAAACGAAAACATTGATGCAAACATATAGTAAAAGAAATTTAGTACTACTCAATTTAATTGATTTGTAAATTCAATCACTCACAATAATTTTAGGCACACATTCATAACTACTAACATTGTTATCCATAAATTTCTTGGGATCCACTAATATTTCTCTTTATAAACTGAAGCAGGTGTTAATATAAACGTTGATTTTGTTTGGAACTCTTGCCAATTTTTCTAAAATTGAACTGAATCTTTATTCTTCACCCTAGTTTGGCACTAATATTTCAAAATTTAATTTTCCCAACTAGTTTTCAATCACACATGATACCACAACTTTTCAACCACATAATTTATTAGTTTTCTCAAAATTTATTGAAAATCTAATTTATATCTAAACCAAATTGGAGCCACACCATTTTAAACGAAAACATCAATGCAAACATATAATAAAAGAAATTTATTGCTACTCAAATGATTTGTATATTCAATCATTCACAATAATTTTAGCCACACATTCATAACTACTAACATTGTTATCCATAAATTTCTTGGGATCCACTACTATTTCTCTTTATAAACTGAAGCAGGTGTTAATATAAACGTTGATTTTGTTTGGAACTCTTGCCAATTTTTCTAAAATTGAACTGAATCTTTATTCTTCACCCTAGTTTGGCACTAATATTTCAAAATTTAATTTTCCCAACTAGTTTTCAATCACACATGATACCACAACTTTTCAACCACATAATTTATTAGTTTTCTCAAAATTTATTGAAAATCTAATTTATATCTAAACCAAATTGGAGCCACACCATTTTTTAATTAGCAACCACCTTTTTTTGGTCTTTACAATATTCCCATTGCAAATCTTAGAAAACATACCCTATCTCCATTACCGTTTGAGAACTTTTTTTCTTGCTTTTGTTTTGTTTTGTTTTTTTCTTTTGGGGAGAAATGTGTTTCGAAATAGTAATTTTTTTTAGAGAATATATAATTAAAAACTAGAAAAAAAATTTGAATTTGCATATAGAATTATTTTATGAAAGAATGTGCTATTAAAAATGAGTTTTGAAAATAATAATAACAAAATTTGAACATCAAACATGGGCTAAGTCGAGTCTCGATCAATCCACAATTGAGTTTACTGGCCGCCTTTTGCAGTTGAAAACCGGTAAGTTTTATTCCTGTGCATATTGATCTCTTATTTCAATATTTTGTTCAACCAAAGTATTTAAATTTTGCAATTTAGGTCATTCAACTTTAAAAATTCGTATCTTGTCCCTGAATTCCAGATTTCTTCAATTTCGTTCATTTTTTTGTCAATTACCATTCATTTTCATCCGTTTTCATCCAACAACAAAATTTCTCTTAAAATAATCAAGAAACAAATAAAGTTAAGTATGTCATTCATAAATTACTCTGAAATATCAATTTAGATGGCCAAGATAAGTGTTTAAACTTATCAAACACTCCAAACTTAATTCATATGTTGTCAATCAATAGAGCACCACAAAAGCTCAGAAAATAGAAATTAAATTTAAAAAAAAAAAGGAATTTAAGAATCGTCAAATAAGTGTCGGATAATGCAGTTGACCTTGAAAATTGTAGAATCTTTTAATTTTCCTTTCTCCTCTTTTAAAGGATCTCTCGGTCTAGGTGCCAATTTTACTTCAATTAAGATTATAAAAAACATTAAAAATAATTTATAAGAAACTACAATCAAGATCCCAATTAAATCAAAATACAAATAAACATGCTATTAAAACTGTAATTTATAGATTCATAATTTGGGGAAAATTATGATTTTTGGTGTACTAAAGACTTCACAAGTCAAGATTTGTCATTTAGGAATTAAGTATATAGTTAAATTTCACATGGGTTAAGGTTTCAATTGTCATCAATCATTCTTGGTTTAGAAATTATTCATTATTCTCAACATTAGGGGGCATTAACTTAGATTGCAATCTCCAGTTTGGAAATTATCATGCTATGAAAGTGTAATTTATAGATTCGTAGTCGGAAAAAAAAAATCTTCTTAAGATTTTTGGCATTCTAAAGACTTCATAAGTCAAAGTCTTTTAGAGTAAATATCATTCTATGCAGTCTATCGTTTCTTGTATAAATCTCATCGGTTATGGTTCCAATCAATATCAATCATTGTTGGTCATTAACTCACATTGGAATCTCAAGTTACGTAGGCCTTGACCAAAACTTCTTGAAGATATTTATATGAATCTTGATATATATGTGGATTGTAATTTATGCATTGTTACGTAAAGAACATATATTGAAATTGAAAAATGAACTTTTATTGATAATTATCTATATAAATTACAGAACCACAAAGTAGATTAAGATACACAGCCATAGAATTGCTCCCTTGGTTTTAGAATTAAAAATTCAAAATATTTAAATATTGCTATGTGAAAATAAATGTAGTATAAAAAAAAATGCTTGAGGGAAAAATAAATTATTGATTTCGATAATTTGATTTTTTTTTTCACTCTATCTTTTTCATTTAATTTAATTTTAATAAATATTAAAATGTTGTAAAAAATATTTTAAAGGGGTTCACCATCTATTAAAACTTTTAATCTTAGCACCTATATCCTAAACCTTTTAATAAATGTGCACAGAAAGGACCTTCAAAGGTTTACATTCAAAAGCATGTTAGTTGATCAAAAGTCAAACGTTTTATCTTAATTTTATCAATTTAATGCAAGATAAATAGGTCCTTTTACATTTAATTAATTAAAGAAATTTTTTTTAAATAAAAAAAAAAATATATCATCTTCCTAATTCGACCTAACCACAAACCTCGACAACCTACCCCCAACCCTATACAGTCACCATCCTCAAATCCCTACTCCATCGACACCATCATTATCAAACACACCCACACCTTCCACCATCACCTCTACCATCTACACACTAAACTCAATGGCCTACTCAATCACAGAAGTGTATTGGCGCTGCCACTACCACCCACAACCATCCTCCATTAAAACCTGCCAAAAATCGCAGAAACTAAAAATAAAATAAAAAATTGGATCCAAATTCTTTTCTCAGATCCTAAAACTCCAGTATGTTCATTTTCGATCCAATCGAGATTTTTATTTGTAAGATTTTTAATTTAGTAATGGGTTTCCCAACAAAACGAAATGTTTGATACTATAGTTTCTTGACTGAACCAAATCGATGGGAAATCTGGTTTATCAACTTGAATAATCTACGTCAAGTAAGAGAGAACCAAACTCGAGGGAGAAAATTCTGGCTTTATATATTTAGAACTTTAAATTCGGATTTCGCACATGAAAAACATCGGATAAGAGATAACCAGATTTTATGCAAGAACATCTGGAAGATTTCTACCCTATATTTTATACCTAAACCTGAGGAGAAATCCTTCAGTTGTTGGCAGTCCAAGCTTGACATGGTGCTAGCAAAGCTCATCAATTATTGCATTCGCCACTATGAACTCCATCAATTTGGTGTGGATAGGATGAGTTTGGTGGGGGTGGGATAAGGATGGGGATGAGGGGACAAATTTTGTGGCGGTTTCCATAACTTCGACCTTGCTACATGTACATCAACTCTTTTAGTCAATCATTTCTATAGCTAATGGGTTAAATAATGTAACATGTCATTTATCATTTGTCAGT